AACCAAATTACTAAACCAAATGCAGTCTAACCATGACCCTAGAAAATAAATCTCAAAGAATCAAATGGTAGAATGAAGTAAATAGGCAGAGCATAAAACCAAATGAAAGAAGTAGAGATGCTCACCAGGATCAAGTGAAGGCAAATCAATTTTCCAAGGTCTTAATTCCTGAGACGTCCAAGACAGGAATCAAATACTATTTCCTCCAGGGCAAAGAAAAGTAGATAAGGCCACACCAATTATTTCTTATATCCATACACAAACCTCCAAAATTTTAAACCGAAAAAGGCATCATCATGAAGAAAGGAATATATAACCAAGAGCAAAGAAGCGCACTTTTATGGATAAGTTAGCAAAGATTCGAACTTTCAAAGACCTACATGGTACATATGCAATTGACATAAGTAGCAGTGAAGTGCATAGATATTATAGCAGGAGTCAAGTGCCGTAAATAGAAGTTTGAGAACCGAAAATCACACCAACTGTCCTACCAGCAATTGGGATGTCGTACATTCACATCAAGCTTGGAAGGAAAAAGACAACATCATAAAGTGCACGAACTGAAAAGAGTTTTTCGAATTTGCAGGACCCTGATAGAATTTATAGCAGTTGGGTTACAGAGCAATAAGCCAATAACACATTCAACAACTACAGATCCTAACTGCATTCGTTTCAGCCTATAAAAAGAATGTACCTAACCTTCAAGAGTGCAAAATCTGCTATGAAGTGGCCGGTGAAACAGTCGTCGCCACTCCTAGTAGAGAACAAACAAACGATCTAAACAAATATCCAAGTAAACATGAACCTTAGAAAGGAATCAGATCAAGAGAGGTAGCTCACCACCACAGTAGGTTCCGCCTGTTGCTTCGCAAGCTCAACGGGCAATAAAGTTTCCTAAGAATTTGAGATCAATTTCTTTGCCACAAAACTCGCCGTCCGAACCTCCTTTGAAAGCAGACGAACAAACCCCCTGACAAAAGAAAGAATGGAAACGAAACCATCAAGAAAAGAGAGTAAACAAACTAATCACAGAGAGAGAACAATCACTTGAAATCTAAAAGCGTCGTGGAAACTGGAGATTAGTTTCTTCTCCACACTGCCACTGAACCTCACAAATCCGGCATTTGTGATTAAAATAGGCACCCATCTCGAAGGAAGAGAACATAAACACTCATACAAAATCAGAAAGAGAGAGTGGAAATGAGAATAAAAACGAAATTGGAATTCTTCTCCACGCCATAACTGAAATTCTGAAATGAAACACCAGCAGAGTCCATAGCTAAAGGAAAGGAGAGTGAATTTGAACACATAGAATTGTCAGGCCACCTAACTGTTGGTTTGAGGAGTAAATCATTTTGAAAACATACCAATTAGTTAATGGCTGCAAACACCCTTTATAAATTACGTATAAGGTACATGAAAACAATAAAATTAACACAATTGAATATATGAATTATTTACTAACTCAACAACTCTTTGGGAATTGAGAGCAGGCAATCTGGCATTTATCGCTTGATTAAACTTCACCAATTATCTAGTAACTATGGTAAATTTATTCATTTTTTTCCACATGGTTGCTTGCTAAAGATCATTCAAATTATTTCACATCATGAAAACTTAAAACTGGATTTGTAGGAACCAAAGTTTCAGACCGTTATAGGAAAACAAATACCTGGCTGTAACATGACCTTCTCCTCCTCATCCTAGAATAACAATATTCAACTCTAGTCCTCTCAATTGCATATGCAATTCATTCCCTATTTGTACAGCAAAGCTCTGGCAAAAAGGGGGGAAAAGAACCGAGACCACATTAGAGAACAGAACATGTAAAGGGAATAAAAGAAGAAGTTACAGAAGAACAAACCTCAATTAATCATAATGAAGCAACGCACACGCAAGTTGAGTTGTGCATCGCTATACCTCCTAATCCACAGTTCCATGTACCCTTGGTGCCACATCAGAACAGACCGGCTACAAACTGTAGAGCAAAGCATATGGGCAACCATAAAACTATAGGCACAAACAAAACCAAACCATAAAATCTATAATGTTAGGGACCATTATAAACCACAAATGACATCCTACTATGCAGATTGCAGGCGGTGAAAGTAGCAAATGAGTAAGTAAAATGAAATCCTTACAATGGGTAAAAGCCTAAGTCAGTTGAGCCAAGATAAAAATATCTCAGTCAATAGTCATGTGAATGCAGAGGCAAGCTATGTAATTTTTACTCTGGCTAGACGTTGTTTCCTTCTATACTTTCGACTGAAATTGTACTGTTTTAATGTTCATTGTAAGAGGAAGTTGTGTTAGGCTGCATGAACTCCAGAAAAAGCTAAATGAATTTTCTATTAACCTCACTGGCTCTATTTTCGTCATATAACATTTTAAGTATTGTCGTTTGACACTCGGATGTTTGACTCACAGAACTACCATGTAAGCTGGCTTGAATGAGAATTCAATTAAACTTTAAATTGTGAAGATGACATAGACAACCAATTTAGTGGGTTGGGATTCTAACAGTATTTACTTTCAGGATTTTGTCAAAAACTACAATATCCGCGAAACAAATTGTAAAATCAAAAATGGATCCCATTCACCAGGTACTTACATTGCATGTACGTTGAACAGAGGACGGCCTTCGTTGTCACCTATTCCATCCAGCAACATCACATCTTCAAGAATCCTGTAATTAAGTGAAAACAATAACACTTAATTAAAGGCTTCTGTTATTTATGCATGACTGACAAAATTTGTCAAGGGAAGCTAGCCCATTTGGGACTAAATACAACATATCAGAAAAGGAAATACCTTGCATTGGTGATAGAAGGACCAAGTGGTGGCTTCTAGTTCTTCGAAAGCTTCTGAATAAACACTGTTGCAAGTGTGGTTTCCAACACTTTCTTCGCTCAGTGTCAAAAACTGCAGCCTTCAGTTGATTGACACACGAGATCAAAACATATAACTGGCAATGATTGAAAACAGGTTCAGGCTACAAAAATGGCAACATGGTGCAGTGTCTGACTCTGACTCAATACCAACGGCGCTTGTTCACGAGTAATAAATAAACAGTACGCGGAAGATAAAAAACATACAAAAACCAACAACAACATCATTAATCACAACCCAGCATTATTCAATTGTTGAGTGAGCTAATTATTTGGATTTCAGTGGGAGTATTACTGGTGCAGACATGGGACCTAAAAAAGGATATTGAAGGTAAACTTCAATCCATTGGTTTGAGCTGCGTTAGTTGGTGAAGTGCATTGACTTGTACGAAATAGGCAATGTAGAATCATGTCTCGTGCTTTGACGAAAAAAGGAAAATATCACACCGACAACAATAATTTTCACTGGATTCTAAAAGGAATCCAATAATAATACTCTAACCATAACTATTCATGAAAATCAAAAGTATCAGAAAAGCACAGAAGAAAATACCTGAACAACATAGTCATCTCCACCACTCTATACGCCTGGATGCATCCAGCAAGTGACCATTGAGATGGCTCAGCAACAGAAGCATAAAGCACCCTCTTATACTTGTTTAATTCTCATCTTAAAACCAGCAAAACAGCCGTACAAAAATCACACAGGCATTACTCGGATTGATGCATATCACGAAGGGTTAGAAGGGGGTCTAAGGAATAGGCTAGTTCCAAACTGCAATTGTTTGGTAGTGATGGCCTGAACAGAACCCCCACTGACCAACAACCCACCACGACGATGCATCCTCTCAAGAGGCATTACGATGAAGCGCTTCCCTGGAAAAAGCAGAAACCCATTTCAAATGTATCATCAACTCATAAAATGTCTTGAGTAATCAAATCGAAGAAACCTAACAGTTCTGTGTTCATGCAGTGGAAAATGGCACTAAGTGAAGAATCCAACACAAAGGCTGAACGTTCCACAACAACGGTGGAGCTAGAGTAGTGAGACCATGGATAGGCGTTGTAGAATGACAAAGGGGATACCTCAACATCAATCTGCCAAACAGAGAACCCTAAAAGGAGTTTAATTGGGATTCCTAGTGTTCCAGCAATGACAAAGACTGACTGTTGGTTTTTTGCTGCATCCTATGAGAGAGTTTTAATCTGGAAATCAGAATTACAACGTGGAAATAAGAAAGATAGACCCAAATAAAAGAAAACCAACAATCCCCAAATCAGCAATAACAATACCATGATGAAACTGGAAAGGTAGAGAGGAGCTAGTGACCTGTCATCATTGGGGAGGTTCCTTCCATTGCCTTCATGGATTGACCACCAGAAAAGAGATCGGATTTGTGGCAAAAAAACATATAAAGATGGGAGCTATGTGGCAAGCGAATCTGAAAAAAGAAAGAGATAACCTGGGAAAGAAGAATAAAAGGTTAGATTCAAGAGAAGAAGGGACAGGAACTGAAGCCGGCAGGAGCGAGTTGGAGATCATTCCGGAAGCTGGTTCTTCTTCTTCTTCATGAGATGGAGAGAGAAATGGCGATGGCGACTTCTTCTCACTTTTCCCTTGGCGGAAATCAAATCAAAACAAAAACATATAGAAACCAGATCAAAGAAAGGAAGAGACCCAGAATATAAACAGAACAAAATCCAAAAAGCAGAGGCTTACCAGATCAATATTGTCATCGGGCATACATAATCGTCTATAAATAGTTTTTTCCTTGCCGAGATGAACTTCCATGGATGAGTTTTACTATTCTATCTTCTTCCGGCAGCTATGATCTTAGTATAACATGCATGTACAGACAAGAAACAGTGAAATTTTCTAAGGTAAAAGAGAAACTGATTTCTTTATTATGAGATCCTACATTTGACTCCCACCTATTCGACAGTCAATGGGTCACCAATTGTTGTCTGAGAAACTAAATCTTCTCACCAATCAGGAAGAGTAAATCCTAGAATGAAATAGGAAAAATTCTGTGGTAGCGGGATTGAATACAGCGAAAGAAAAAAAAAAAGAGTAGATGAAAGAGGAAGAGATATAAAGCAGAGAACTAACTTGCACGAATCAAAATAGTTGTTGTCAATCATTGCTTGAGATAAAGAGCAGCCGTTGGAAGGCAACTGTCAAACTGTGGATCCATCCCCATATCAGGGTCAGCATCATGCTTGTTAAAAATGATATACAATGCAGCAAACTACTCACTGAACCGGCAAGCATTCATCATACATACTTGCTAAGATGGTGAAGAGAAGCTTACCTTGCTAACATCTTCTTGAAACTCCAAGATATCATTACCCAGCCAAGCTCAGAAGGATAGCTTGTAGCTTTGGTAGCTCTAAGCACCAACCACCAGGAGTTCCATGAAGAACTGTATTTCAGAGCACTCAGTGATGACCTATATAGAAAGGAATAAAAACTGAGCAACAACCTTGAGGATTTTAAGTCCAAGAGAAACGATGAAAAAAAAAATTGAACAGCAAGCAAGAGTAAAGTGAGCAAAAAACAAAGCAGGAGTGGTCGGAAAGACGTGAAAGACAAAGAATAAACATTGAACAGAAGTTCAACATGCTTAAGCGGTAAAAAGAACAAACTAAAACTGGAAAACAACCGATTAAAGTCACAATTTATAAGAACACCTGACTAATGGCGGAAAATCCCAACCAACTGTTTGGCGAAGCCCAGCTCTTCAGGCATCGTGTCCATAGTTTGTATTTCGTTACTTTTCTTTTCTGTTTCACTTTTTGGTCCAGAAAACTCATTGTCATATGACGTTTTAGTTGATGATGATACAGGGTTTCATCACCAGTACATACACAAACAATGACAGCAAGAAAGGAGATCAGAGCAGATAGCAATCCCAGGCAACCAAACACGACTGAGGATGGAAAACAAAAAAAGAACAACGCAAAACCACTTTGATTAAAACTACACAGAGGTTAAATAAAGTTAGATGCAAAGTTTAAAGAAAAACCTGTCAATTTCTATATAGAATAAGGAACCTGCAGTGGAATAGGAAGTTGACAAAAACTCCGTTGACATATCGGCCACCCATCGCTCGCTTTTGCTCGTTCATAAGGTTACGGATAAGGCACGGCAGAACATCAATTACCATCGGAATCCTTGTAATATACCTCGGTGACCCAACCTCCTCGGAAAGGGGACGAAGAAACCCTCCAAAAGAAGAAAGAATGAGAACGAAACCATGAAAGGAAGAAAACAGAGTTAACAAACTAATCCCAGAAAGAACCGTCACCTGAAATCCAATTGCAGTACGGAACCTGGAGATCGGATTTTTCTCCAAACCGTCACGCAAAACACCGATTATCATAGGAATCCTGGAGATTAGCTTCTTCTCCACACCATCACTGAACCTCTCAAATCTGCCGGCTGTGATAAACAAAGAGAACAAAGAAACCAATACAAAATCAGCAAGAGAGAGCGGAACAGAGACTATAATGAAACTGAAACAGAGAGGAAAACTGATGATGAAGCAATAGCTCGTCGTAAGCACCTATGGCCGAGAGAAGAAGTCTGGTTGCCTCGTCCCTTCGTCGATTCGCCGAAGAAGAAGCTTAGATGGAGAAAGACAAGTGTAAACTGCAAGTGTCGACCGAGACATGTGGCCGTCGGGATTGGGAGTTCAACAAAAAGAATCGAAATCGAAGATGAACTGGAAAACGTTTAAGAAATTGATCTGCAAGGGTGGGTTTCTTCTTCTTCCTTGAGATTAGTGGTTGCTAGGGATAGAAGGGGTGAGTTTCTTCTTCTTTGAGATGAGTGGTTGGAAGAGATTCTGACGTGGGAGAGATAATGGAAAAGGGATAAGAGGGACTAAGTGAGGGGAAAGATCTTCCTTTTCTCCTTCTACGTGAGAGATAAGAGGAGAAAGTAAAAAAACTTAAAAAGAAGTGGAAGAGGGGATTAATTGGAAGTGACAGGACGAGCTCCAAGATGTCAGAGAAAGGGACAATAAGAACAAGCAAAAAAGCAGGCAAGTAACGTCAGAGAAAAGGCCAATGAGAACAAGCATTTTTTTTTATTAAAAAAAAAACGACCCAATCCGACACATGTAAAACTCGACCTCGACCAAAACTTCGTCAATATTGTGTTCAACTCGCTTTAGTCGGGTCGACATTAGGTCAAACATCCATTGATTCAAGCATGCAAAACTCATTGTCGACCAAAAATTTGTCAATGTCCGGTTTAACACGCTCACGCCGAGTGGAATTAGGTCAGATACTCATTGATTTTTGTCCAATTTGGGCTCAATTGTCATAAGTTAATTAATTAGAACGTTAATGGCACAAAAACTCCTCCAAAGTTTACAAAAGTTGGTAAAATCTGTTGCCGATAAAAAAGTCGGCAGCACCGAAACCGGATCGAATTAGATTGAGTACACCCGACTCAACAAAAGAGGGTAAAATTCGTTCCCAACCAAAATCTGGCAACATCGGGACTGGGTCGAATCAGGTTGAATATAGTTTTTAACAAAAGCGACAGACAACCCAATTCGTCATTTACAAAAGTTGGTAAAATATGTTGCGGACCAAAAATTCGGCAACACCGAAACCGGATCGAATTAAATTGAGTACACATGAATTTAGGTACATAAAAAAAAATCATTAAACATAAGATTAATGAAAGAGAGAGAGAGGGAGGGATGAAGATTGATGGAGGGGGGAGGAGTTACGGGAGTGGTGAAAATGAATGGATGGGAATAAGTGCAGGAGAGAGGAAAGGAATAAAGAAATAAAACATAATTGCATTTTTAGTCCTCAGTAAAGTCTTGGTTAATGGTTAATTACAAAAGAGAGCCACCTATGCATGTCAGAACTCAGAAGAAGGGCCAATCAGAAAGGAGAACAAGAGGCAAAAAAGCAAACCAAGTCACAGTGTTTGGATGTGACTCTATGAAACAGTAAACTTGTAACTTGTTCTTTGGGCTCAATTGTCATAAGTTAATTAATTAGAACGTTAATGGCACAAAAACTCCTCCAAAGTTTACAAAAGTTGGTAAAATCTGTTGCCGATAAAAAAGTCGGCAGCACCGAAACCGGATCGAATTAGATTGAGTACACCCGACTCAACAAAAGAGGGTAAAATTCGTTCCCAACCAAAATCTGGCAACATCGGGACTGGGTCGAATCAGGTTGAATATAGTTTTTAACAAAAGCGACAGACAACCCAATTCGTCATTTACAAAAGTTGGTAAAATATGTTGCGGACCAAAAATTCGGCAACACCGAAACCGGATCGAATTAAATTGAGTACACATGAATTTAGGTACATAAAAAAAATCATTAAACATAAGATTAATGAAAGAGAGAGAGAGGGAGGGATGAAGATTGATGGAGGGGGGAGGAGTTACGGGAGTGGTGAAAATGAATGGATGGGAATAAGTGCAGGAGAGAGGAAAGGAATAAAGAAATAAAACATAATTGCATTTTTAGTCCTCAGTAAAGTCTTGGTTAATGGTTAATTACAAAAGAGAGCCACCTATGCATGTCAGAACTCAGAAGAAGGGCCAATCAGAAAGGAGAACAAGAGGCAAAAAAGCAAACCAAGTCACAGTGTTTGGATGTGACTCTATGAAACAGTAAACTTGTAACTTGTTCTTTTAAAGAGATAATGTGGTCAACCTACTGCTAATTGCTCGCTTTTAGCTGTACGTGAGGCTATTTTATGAATTGGTCACTGTCATTATTTACAATTCACATAATGGACATCAAATAATATGGATGACAATTACGAACCAGTTACTTATATTTATAATTATATTTACCGACTAACTCAATATGTAATGTTTAGCTCTATATAATATAATTAATCAAATTACTTATATTTATAATTATATTTTAAATCAAGTATCCTTAACATGACAACAACATGCAACCAATCAACCCGATCTGCCATGAACTAGTAGTATATTAATGTAATCATCCCGATTTGGACCATTTACCGTTCCTATTTCAATTGATCAAAATGGTCATTACTGGACAAGTGTCAACTTGTCATTGGATGTGTATGTGTTCGTAAGAAAATGACGACACAAAGGGTGCATTTGTTGGAAGGAGGTAAAGTAAAGGGACCAAATGGATAATTAGCCCGGTTTTCTGGTCCGCTGGTTAGCTAATCTCCCCTGTTCTTTTACCCGCTGTTTTTCTGGTGTTTTCAACTTTGTTTGTTATTTGTCGAGATTTGGAGGAGCATTGGGTATTGACCAGAGTAAAGAAGAATGATTACCTCTGCCTCTGGGTTTGGCTGACTGCTGGCTACTCCATTGCAATAGCCAAATAACACAACGCCCAATTAATGCACAATTCTTGACTGCCAATTAAAATGAAATGCCCAACTGCATGCTGCCTGCTCCTCTTTTGCTTTGATATTTGTACATCCCTCATCTCTCTCTCTATATCATGAGATGTCATGTGTACACCATGCCGGTAAATAATTTTTTTACGGCTTAATTGCAAGTTTGGTCACTCGAATTGCTACAAAATTTCATGTTTGGTCACTCGAATTGATTTATTCCATTCGTAGTCACTTAAATTAGTTGAACAGTCCAACTTTAGTCACTCTCCGTTAACCTCCGTCAAACTCCGTTAGTACCGTCAGTTAGCTGCTGACGTGGCTAACAGAAGTGCTTAGTCATCTTATTTTAATAAAAGAAATAAAAAAAAACATGTCACATCATTAACCCCTCAATATTGCGAAGCCCCTTCCTGATGGTCAATATTGCGAAGTCCTTTTAACTCTAGATTTGTTCTTCAAATTTGGTGGTTGAGAGTCTCTAACTACTGCAAAATCCTTTCTTTCTCTTGTGTTCCTCTGTTTTGACATGACGACTTTGGGGCTCAGTGGATCTGATATGTAGTAATGGAAGCTTTAGTAGACTTATATCCCTGATATAAGTCTACTAAAGCTTCCATTACTACATATCAGATCCACTGAGCCCCAAAGTCGTCATGTCAAAACAGAGGAACTGGTGGCACTTGTAATTAACTTCATCAATTCCAAACACACACACACACGTGCGGTAAGAGAAATACTCGAAAGCAACCGGCAACAGGGCGGGGATACATAGAACAATGCTATCTCGATCAATAGGAATGCGGGTCCTTGTTAATCGATCATCACTCGCTAGTCAGGGCTTTTCATGATCACATGATCTGGCCGTACCACATGGTGCAAACCTGGTTGCTGAAGGAGCCAGAAGTGACCGATTTGCACTCGTCCAGCAAGATCTTGGCAGTAGCAAGACAGTGTTTGCAGTTGTCGACGCTGGTCCCCGGGACACAACTGGCCGAGCCTGTAACGCTGCCGCGGAAGCCACCTGCAGGGACGGACTTGGAGTCGAAGAATCCCTCCTTGGTCGGCGTAGTGTCCCGCAATCCCGAGGATATAAGTCTACTAAAGCTTCCATTACTACATATCAGATCCACTGAGCCCCAAAGTCGTCATGTCAAAACAGAGGAACACAAGAGAAAGAAAGGATTTTGCAGTAGTTAGAGACTCTCAACCACCAAATTTGAAGAACAAATCTAGAGTTAAGAGGACTTCGCAATATTGACCATCAGGAAGGGGCTTCGCAATATTGAGGGGTTAATGATGTGACATGTTTTTTTTTATTTCTTTTATTAAAATAAGATGACTAAGCACTTCTGTTAGTCACGTCAGCAGCTAACTGACGGTACTAACGGAGTTTGACGGAGGTTAACGGAGAGTGACTAAAGTTGGACTGTTCAACTAATTTAAGTGACTACGAATGGAATAAATCAATTCGAGTGACCAAACATGAAATTTTGTAGCAATTCGAGTGACCAAACTTGCAATTAAGCCGTAAAAAAATTATTTACCGGCATGGTGTACACATGACATCTCATGATATAGAGAGAGAGATGAGGGATGTACAAATATCAAAGCAAAAGAGGAGCAGGCAGCATGCAGTTGGGCATTTCATTTTAATTGGCAGTCAAGAATTGTGCATTAATTGGGCGTTGTGTTATTTGGCTATTGCAATGGAGTAGCCAGCAGTCAGCCAAACCCAGAGGCAGAGGTAATCATTCTTCTTTACTCTGGTCAATACCCAATGCTTCGCAATATTGACCTCCCCTAAACCCTAAACCCTAAACCCTAAACCCAGAAACAAAAAAGCACCAAACGAGGAGAAGGGAAGATGAAGATGAAGATGAATGAACGCACAAAACCACCTCCCCATCTCTCACTCTTTCTCATTTCAACACTAACGCGCCATTAATCCATCACTTCCCAGTACCACTCCCTCTGCCCACCATCTCCTTGTACCTTATTATGGAGTCGACCCTCTGCAGCTTCAGCTGCTGCTTGAACTTGTTGATGAAGTCGTCCGCCTTGGCATCCACCCCGCTGTCCTCCCCTCCATCCTCATCCGCCATCAACTTCTTGCTCTTCCCTTCCTTCACCGTCGTCGGCCTCCGCGCTTCCACCACTTCCACTTCCTCGAAATGGGCGAACGCCGACCTCGTGCTAGCCGATTTCCTCATCTTCTTCGCCAGCTTCTTCGGGACTTCGCCGGCTACGGGCTTCGTGTCCGATTTCGATCTCCCCACCAGTTTAGTTTCACTATATTTGAAGAGCCGCAATTGATGAGATGGTTGTCGACGGGGGAGAAAGGTGAGAAAGAGAAGGCGGAGAAGAAGGAGATGAGATGGGATGGTTAGCCTCTGCCCGATCTCCGGCTCCCTCATGTCCTACCCGGTCGTCGTCTCCCCCGGTCACACCTTCGGGTCGGAGCTGGGGAAGAAGAGGGGGGAAGGAGAGGGGGAACAGGTGAATGGGTTGGTTTAGGGGTTCGGTTCGGGTCAGGGGTTGATTGGGTTTGGGTGGACTTTTAAAATATTGTGGGGTTAATGATGTGGCATGTTTTTTTTTTCTTTTGTTAAAATAAGATGACTAAGCACTTCTGTTAGCCACGTCAGCAGTTAACTGACGGTACTAACGGAGTTTGACGGAGGTTAACGGAGAGTGACTAAAGTTGGACTGTTCAACTAATTTAAGTGACTACGAATGGAATAAATCAATTCGAGTGACCAAACATGAAATTTTGTAGCAATTCGAGTGACCAAACTTGCAATTAAGCCATTTTTTTACCGAATTCAAAAAAAAAAAAGGTTTACTGCATTAGAATTTAGGTCATAGATTAAATATGGAACCAACAATTAGTACTACGATCACCCGTAAAAATCTTATATTCGTTTCTTAAGCATATCATGATAACTACATAAATGATAAAACAGTTATGTTTTAAGTGCTTTATTGGGTTAAAGATTTCCAATATAATTCGCTTTATGGAGTTTGTTTGTGCCACGTAGCCGCTTGCCCTACTTCGCCGAGATTCCCTCCCGAGGACCTCTCCGAGGCGCCTAGATCCTGCACCACAAACGCCTAATGGGCTCGGAGAAGCCCGTTAGCACTCCAACGCTCAAGTCAGTCCCCAATCTAGAGAGATAAGTGTCGAGAGAAGTCTTTAGTGAGAGAAGCCAACCTGAGTAAATGCTACCTACCGTGCACTATTTATACTAGGCGGGGTATCGACCAGGCTCCTGGAATTCAGCCCCACGTCAGCACACCATTAAATGCCCCGTACGACCCAACGGTCAGGCGCTTCCACGTGGCGGCTCCTGGGCTCCCTAGTCTGGGCGCCTACAGGGACCACCTGCCAGCTGGCGCACTCCCAGTCTCCAGCCGTTGGAGATGCCTGGTCCCCGCTCTAGTTTTGTCTTCATGCGCCCAATTACCCTTCCATGGGCTTCAGCTTCATTCTTGCAGGCCCTAGTTCCTTTGTTGGGCTTGGGCCAAGGCCCAGCTTCTAAGCCCTTCTTCTACATGGCCCTTCTCTACTTACCCAACAATTGTCCCCCAGTTAGGCGCTCATGGCCCGTAATGAGCGTCTAACTATGTGCAACGCCTTAACGGGCTCGGTCCGCTGGTGGGGTTAACCCGCCCCTTGTGGTTTCATGACTGGCGCCGGACACCCCAAATCACCTCATTTGACTGACCTATGATTTGGTAGGGTGCCCGCCCCCTTTACCATGTTGATTTCTTTATCCCTGACCAAACTACCCTTTTCCGATCTTTTGTTAACGCGAGGCGCCTACACTCTCGCGTTTTGCTAGGCGCCTATTCTGTTTAACAGCTTGCTCCTGTTGTTAACCGAACGCCCAGCCTCTCGGGTTTTACTAAGCGCCCGCGCCCCCATATGTCCCCCTCTCCGTGCGTCTTGAAATTTGAATTTCGAAATTTGAAATTCAAATTGGAAATTCAAATTTCAAACGAACAGTGAGGATTAGATCTGGGGGTCGGGCGCGCATCTCCATATCAGTCCGTTGGGCTTCCTCCCCATATAAATACCAAGGTCCGCCCCTCTCCATCCTCATTTGCGCGGATCCCTCCTCTCTCTAACTTTATCTCTCTAAACTCCCTCTGCTGTGCGCCTAGCTTTTTTTCCATGCCTCAAAAATCTGGCTCACGCGCCTCCTCTGCCGAACCTTCAAGGGAGAAGGGCGCCGAGCCCGACGTGATATCAACCCTGGAAGGTCACTTCTCGCCCGGATCCCTCCTCTCGCCCAAGCACGTTTAACTTCGGAGTTCTGATGGGATCCGGTGCATTAGTGCTGGTATGATCGCACCCCAAGAACTTCCCTGCCTCGGCTAAGAAGACGCACTTCTTTGGATTAAGTCGGAGCTTGAAATGACGCATCGTCTCGAAAGTTTCTCGCAAGTCCATAATGTGGTCCTGGCGCCTCTTACTCTTCACAATCAAATCGTCAACGTATGCTTCAACATTCCTTCCCAATTGCTTGCGGAAAATTTGGTTGACCATGCGCTGGTAGGTTGCTCCGGCATTCTTCAACCCAAACGCCATCACTCTGTAACAAAAATTTCCGAAGGGCGTCATGAAAGCCGTCTTTGCCATGTCCTCCTCCGCCATAGGGATCTGGTGATACCCCGAAAACATGTCGAGGAAACTAAGCGCCTCGTGGTAAGCCGTGGCGTCCACAAGCAGGTCGATGCGCGGCATGGGATACGCGTCCGTAGGGCAAGCTCGGTTGAGGTTGGTAAAATCCACGCACATCCTCCAATCTCCTGACGGCTTTGGGACAAACACCACATTGGAAAGCCATGTGATGTACCTTGCTTCCTCCACAAATCCCGCCTCCAGCAACTTATCGACTTCCCGGCGGAGCGCCTCCTCCTTTTCTTGGGGTAGGTTTCGGCGTTTTTGCTGAACAGGCCTTTTTCCTTCTTCAACGGCAAGCCTGTGCACCGCTACGTCGGGAGACACGTCGGGCATGTCCTGGGCGCTCCAAGCGAACAGTTCCCCAAACTCCTTCAGCAATTCGACTAGCGGAGCTCTCATCGCTTCCGGCGCCTGTGCCGATATCCGCACTTGCCTCTCCGGGCGCCCCTCATCCAAGGCCACCGTCAGCTCCTCGTCTAACGCCTCCGCTCTAGGCGCCTCCTCAGGGCGGATGTCGATGTTGTGGATCCTGTGCTTGCGAGCACGGTTCCTTTGGTCTTCTTCTCGGGCGTATCGTGGGACATTCCTTCCCCTGGAGATGCCTATTCCCTGCGGCGCAACAAATTTCAAGGTTTGATGACAAGTAGACGCCACTCCATTGAATTGTGCCAATAATGGGCGGCCAAGTATCACATTATATGGCGACGGACAATCTACAATCCCGAACTCCACTGCGTGTGTCACACAATGCACCTCATCTCCCAAAGTCACAGGTAGCCGCACGCGCCCAATGACCTGGGCGGGCGCTCCCGAAAATCCGACCAATATGGAACTCGCGGGTCGCACCAACTCAGGCGCCAATTGCATGCGCTCAAACGTGCTTTTAAAGAGCACATCCATCGAGCTACCCGTATCCACCAACATTCTCTTCACCTTACATCCCGCTATCACACCCTGAATTTCCAAAGCCTCTTCCGATGGGACCTGGCATGCCTCCTCCGGGTCTTGATTGAAGTGGATGTGCACAGCCGCCCTTGCCTCCAACGAGGCGGACCTCAAGCGCCTTGACCTCTCTAACTTATCCCTCAAGTTAAGGGTACCGGTTATGGACTCGACCGTGAGCCGGACGCGGCTAGGTTCCCCTTCTTGGTTCACTTCGAACGGAGGTGGGGGTATCTCAGGCTCTGGCGCCCGTTGGAGCTTAGTCTCTCCGGGCGTTCTTTGGATCCTCAGGGTATCAGGCGCCCCCTGGACTACGGGTATCTCAGACGCCTTTTGGGCCATTGGGATCTCAGGCGCCGCCCGCGTCACGTACGCCCGATGGGTCTTGTCTTCCACCCTTCTCACGAAGTCGTTGAGCATGCCCTTGTCGGCCAACGTTTGAAGCTCAGCCTTAAGCTGGTAGCAATCTGCTGTATAGTGCCCCTTGTCGCGGTGAAAGTCGCAGTACCTGTCAAGGTTTTTCTCATTTGGTTGGCCCCGCATGGGCCCTGGCCAGCGAATTTGATAGCCCCTATCTTTCACATATTGTAGGACGTTTTTGAGCGTGTCATTGTACTCTGTAAAATTATTGGCACTCCTAGGCAGGAGGCGGGGCGCCTCTGGCCTCCTTGGTGGGCCAAAATTTCCAGACACAGACCGTGGCGCCTGCCTCACCTCCATTTCATCACCCCTCAAGCGCCTCTTCTCCGCCCTCCGCGCTGCCAAGGTCTCTTCCAACATGATCACTTTCTGCACCCTCCTATCTAAGTCCTCCGTGGAGACCACATCTCGCTTGGAAAGGACTCGACAGAGCTCTTCACTCGAGGTACACGCGTCCAAGCAAACCCCCAATACCGCCGGCTGTACGTCCTTAACCGCCATTGCCACCGAAATCCAACGGTCGTAAAATTCCCTGAGCGCCTCGCCTTCTCTCTGCTTCACTTTGAACAGGGCGCCTATGGTCAGTGTTCGGCGCTTCCGGCTCGCGAACTTGGATAGGAACAGCTCCGCAAACTGCTCGAAGCACTCTATGCGCCCCTCCTCAATTTGATGATACCAGTCCAATACAACGCCCGCGAAGGTGGATGGGAACACCTTGCACAAGGTGGCGTCGGAGCTGTTGTAAAGTTGCATCTTCGTGAAGTAGCTGTTCAGATGATCTTCTGGGTCAGCAACTCCATCGTAGCTAGGTAACGGGGGAATCGTGGTTCCGGCGGGCTCTAAAAGGACGGTTCGCGCCAGGGGCTGTCGAACTCCAAACCGTTTGGTCATCCTTGGGGGCGCCCATGCGTCATCCTGGGCATGTTCAGCGGGTGGCCGCCAGGTTCTGGGGCGCCAGGGCGCATCGGGGCCCTGATTAATGGGATGTGGTAATCCGAACTGCAGAGACTCCGAATCTTCCCCCGCTCTCTCTCGCTTCCTCGCTCCGGGGTTGTACATCAATACATCCTCACTCCGATCACCTTCCAACTCCCTCCTGAGTGCCGCTATGGCCCGATCTTGATCCGCTATGATCCGGAACAGTTCCCTCTTCGTCAAGGA